TGACTTGACCCTGAGGACGAACGTGATTCCAGACAGGTCCGAGGGGTTGCTTTTGAACAGCATCCCCTTGTAACTTGAGCTTACTGCATTTGGGATAACACGGCTGCAGACCAGGAATTCCATCTCCGCCTGCCTCCCCTCAGCCTCGGCTTTAATTAAACAGTGAGGAGACCACAGTGTCTCCTGCTAGCATCGGATTAGCCCCAAGCATTGCTGTGAAGCCATTCCGGGGCTTTTAAAAATCCCAGCAAACAGATCTATAAAAAACATCTCTGGTCTTGTTTGAAGCACTCTTTTCACTGTGGGGGATTTTTTTTCAGGTTGCTCATTACATTAACATTTAACGTGGCTCCCTGAGACTCGGGAAACAAAGAAATGAAGCAGTAATAAATCCAGCCGGAAAGCTCCCTGCCAGACGACCCGAAGTGAGGGCAGCCCCTCACGCCCCCTCCCCAGCAAGTGCTGGGCCCTGGGCTTACGTCATTCTCATTAGTCCCAGTAACCACGGCTGTGGCCAGGGCAGTGCTCAGAACACAGTAGGTGCTCAATAAACACGCACCGACTGCATGAAAGGCATCCACATGGACACAGCACTGCCTTTCAGAGAGAAGGAATGGAGCCCCAGAGCGTCCATACAGCTTCTCCCCAGTGAGAGCTCCAGCACGCCCCCCCCTTTGCCCTCCTCCGGGGCCACACGGCTCCCCAGCAGGGAGGAACCGGGTCTCTGTCACCCCATGGGGGCCTGGCCCTCAAGACATGCTCCTCTGCGGCGAGGCCTTCCTTCTCTTCACTTCTCCCAGCTGTAAAATCATGACTATAAATAACACCAGATCCCAAAGGGGTGTTTTGAGAATTAGCTAAAGGAGGTCGTAAAAACCTCAGGAAGAGGGAAACGCTACAGGAAGGTTTGATACTTGCTCAAGCCCAGGTTCCGACGGAGGCGGGGGCGGCCGGGCTTCCTCCCCAGGCTCTGGGGTGAGCCGCCTTCCCCCCCCCCGCCCCAACTCCGGTCTCCTGCTCTGAGGGGCCAGCCAGCCCCCGGGCAGGGGCAGTTTTGGCTCGCAGAGCCTGAGGTGGGGCTGGGGGAAGGGCAGACCCTCATACTAACTCCACTTTCTGCTGGTGTCTGAAGGGCACTTGGCTGGTAAAATGTCAAAAGCTCTTCAAAAGCATTTTTGACAGATTCCCCCCCAGACTTGGCATGAGCTGTGCAACCATCGGAAGCTGTTGAAACCTGAAATAGCAGGTTTTAAACAGTAATGAAAATCCCCACTGTCTTTGCTCTAGCCTTGAAACTGGAAATGCTTTCACACACACACACACACACACACACACACACACACACACACACACACACACACACCCCTTCAACTCATACTCCCTGGCAAACTGTTTTTCCTTTCTCGCCTCAGCCTCAGCCTTAGGTTTCCCTGTGTCTCTGAATTTGCAACCTGCCAACCTACAGATTTTGGCTGGGGCCCTACAGCCAGGGAGCCTGAAGGGCAAGGTGACCCCTGATGGCCTGCAAGGGCTGGTGATCCCAAGAGCTTTTGATCGTGCTGTGTGAGCCTGGAGCACAGAGGACCCCACAGGGCCACTGTCACTACCTGTCCTCGGGCAAGAGCCGTGATCACTCTGGTAGCTTAGCTTTCCCGGCCTATCAGTGACTGTGTGAAAGACCCTCCACTCCTGCTGGAGGAGGCAGGCCCAGGCACCCAGCAAATGCTAGAGCCTGTCTCCTGCCTCCTAGGTACGCTGTCACCATGCACAGGCACCGGGTCAGGGCATGTACTGTTTTATGGGACCTGAGCCATACTCAAAGAGCTGTTCTAAGAGGATTCTGATAAGAGACAGCAGAGCAGGGATGTGGACCTGTGTCCTCCTGACCACATGCCCTGCTCAGGGGTCACTGATGGCGCATGTGTTCCTTAGGGGCAACAGCTTCTCTGATTCAATGGCGAGATCCAGGTAGTGGCTAAGACCCAGGCTTCTGTGCAGGGGAGCCACCCCTCTCTCTGATCCCTCGCTCCACACAAAGGCAGCTGGTTTGACAAAGGTTACGGGGTGAATGGAGGGACTGCAGGGGAACCGAGGGGGCAAAGGCATCTGCCATTAGACAATTTAGCTCACTTCCATGCAAGCACCTGTCCTGGCAATTTCTGGGGGCTCTTCTGCTCTATAGCAAGCTCATTTCTCTCAACTGAGCACGTATGAGCTCTAGACTTTTCTCTGGAACTCTATGACCCAGTGGCAGGCTCTGTTCACCCACGCAAAGTGCTCACACCAAGGGAGGTAATCTGCCCTCTCTCCCTTCTGCCCCTGCTCTGAAAAGCACTGGAATGTGATGACTCTCCTTTTCCTGGCTGCTTACATTCCTAAGAGCAATATTGAATGGAGGACTGGCTCTCTGTCTTCGTGCAGAGGGTTGGCTGCCTGTGTGGTACGGTTTCACACAGTCCAGAAAAGGGCCCCGATACCCCCGATGCCTCACACACTTCCTCTTTGATGTCCAAGTTTCTTTTTAATAAGAACTCAACTTTTCATTTCACAAATGAAGGTAGACAACAGGCAGGACCTCAGAGAGAGACAACAGATTTACACTAAAGTGTGAATGACTGATACAAAGCCCTTTTGGGAGCAGGTTGTGATGGGGGTGATGGTGGAGAGAAAACAGGTAGATACCTGACTTTCTGACAAGCATATGCCTGTGATAGTTAGAGCTGCAGGCATCTTAGAGTTCAGCTCCCTCCTGTTTCAAGTTAATAATCTAAGCCTCTGGCATTATTATGAACCTGAAGGAAAGGTGGATTAAGAGTCAGAAGGCAGGGACCAGACTCTTAGCCCTGCTGTTTTCTAGTTGTGTGACCTTGGGGAAAAAAGCCACATCACCACTCTGAGCCAGTTTCCTCATCTGTAAAACGGGGATGGGACCAAATGAGATGATACAAGTGAATGTGCTTTGTCAATTCTAAAGCACTAGTGGATGTTAGGGGCCATTGTCACTGAGCCCAAAAGAAATAGCATCACCCTCCACCAGCAACCCCATCCATAGCTTTCCCAGACAGAGGATGCCTGGGTCCCAGAGCACTGTGTTCACACTGGCCCAGGGGGACTCAGTGTGGCCTAAGGTGGTTGGCTCTTTGTTGGTCCATACCTAGGCTGGGTCAGGTATGGCAGAGACAGGCTGTCCACTCTCTGTTCACTCCCATGCCCAGGACAGGTCTGGCACATTCTCTCCTGAGAAAAGGAGCTCAGGAAGTGCTGCCTGAATCACAGAGACTTGGTTGCAGACCCCCAGCTTGGCAGGCAGGCCAGCCTTGCAGAGTGGGGTGCGGGGTCAGGCCCCACCAAAGAAAGTAGGTGCAGGCTTTGGAAGTGGTATGGGCTGAAACAGTTTCTGTAGCAAACCCCTCTCATTCCTTGCTAAGGCCATGTTGCTGAAAGCCCCATCTCCCTGCCCAGAGCGCAGGGAGGCATGTACCAGCTGTCTGGGGACAGCACAGTATAGAACAGAGACTCTTACACGCTTATTTCTTCCTCTGACCTCCCAAGGCCTCTGGGAGGTGCTGTGATTTCCACATCACAGCCTGGGGCTCGGGTGTGAGGGGCATACCTGGGGCCTGACTGAGGCCTAGGAGTCAGACCATCTCCCTTCCACGGGACCTCCACTGGCACCAGGAAGTCAATGGTCACTTTGATCCCTTCAGTGAAAGGGAACACCATACTCTTAACGCAGAGAGCCAATGGTTTTCTCTAAAAACACCATCCATTAGAGTCCCTCCAGAATAATTTGTTTCTAATTAGAAACATCCCATCAGCTCAGTCGTGATTTATGCCTCTGGTCTTGAAACTGAAACATCTCAACTTTTGATCAAAAGTCATGCTATTCTAGAAAGAAATGTGATTTCCTCCTTTCCCATTTTAAGTGACATCTCCCCGCCCCCGGGTTGAATACCCAGCATTTAGCGGGTGGAAACAATGATTTGCACAGATCTGGAAATAGCAGATATCCCAGGAGGGCAGGTCATTTTTCAAACATGGCAGAGAGTAATAATGCCCTCAGCAGGAATGGGAATGTGAGGTCTGTCCTGCGCGTGGGTCCCTGGTTGGGGTTCAGCCATTTGCTGAGGCTGGAGGAGGGGCCCTGCCTCCCCACGGTCCTGGGTGCTGCTCTCAGGAACCCTCACCCAGCTACAGGAAGAGATGGGTGCCAGCCTCTTCCCAAGGGATGACTGCTCCTTCTTGCTTCAGTGAGTACAGGACAGCACCTGCACCATCTCCGTGGACCGGTGTCTGTCACCTCCCTGGAGACACGCTTATCTTTCTTAACAGCACCTTGGGGCCAAGTAATAGGAGATTGCTTGGAGGCAAAATGTCAAAGCTTCCAGATACACCGAGGCTCTGACAGCCCTTGGACTTCTCTTGACTTTCCTTCTGGGCAGCTTGTTTGAAGCCTTCAAATTCTGGCATGTGGGCGGTTTGGAGGCTGGTTACAGGAGAGGGTTTAAAAGTGCACCAACCCCATGTGTGTGACAAGGGCACTGTCCACAAGCCGTAGAGTGAAGATAAGAGGTCAACGGCAAAGCAAATCTAGTCCAAACAAATGTAAATATCAGGGTACCATCCATCCAGTGGAATCCACTTATGTTGGCCGGTTGCCCAGCGAGTGAGGACAAGGACCCCTCTGGGGAACTGCATCCTTTCCGTTCTCCAGAGAAGGAATGGGGAAGAGCAACGGGCAGATTTCTAGAACTGTACTGTACAGATTTCTACAACTGGGCAGGCCAGCCCACGCGGTGATGGCAGTGGAGGAGGGAGTGGTGATGAGGCAAACCGTCAGGGTAGGGGTCCCACAGTTGAGTTTTGTGCGGCCCCTGCCCCATCACGCTTGCTCAGTATGCTCATGCATACCTGGGCTTCCGGTTCCGGGTCTGTGACCAAGTTCTCAGCTTGGTAGATGGAGTCTGCCCTGGGCCCCGGCTCTGGCCAGACGTGCTGGGCTTCCTGCCCCCCCCCCCGCCATGCTGAGTACTCTCCCCCAAGGCTCTGTGCACACCAATCTGATGCCACCAGATACCGCCCCTGGATGGCAGCCAAGATCATCACATGCCATCGATCTTTCCTGTTTTTAAGGCCAAGGATGACTGATCAAGCTGGCTGTGGTAAAAAGCAGGCACTGTGGCCTTCCAATACCTTACTTTCCAGAAAGCTGGGAGGCATTATTCACCATGACCTGGCTAATAAAGAGGCAGGCCAGCTAAAGGCTCTACTTTGCCTGGTGGACTGTGTGTGGGGGAGTTTGCTGGATGGCAAGCCGGCCTCCTCAGCCAAGGAGGGGCCCTTGAACAATGGAGGAGGGCGAGCGTAAGCTACCAGATCTGGGGTAGCACGGCGAGGAGCCTCTCAGGTACGACTCACATTCATTTCCTGGCGTTTTGCAGCTCCCCGCACCAGGAAATTCATGGTACTTAAGAAAACAAAAGTGTCCGTCTGGTCTTCAAAGCCCGAATGGTGAGGCTGGAGAAACCCAGGCTCTGGAGAGCCAATGACCATCTCTAGGACATGCTGTGGCTCAAAGGTACCATCATGGGGCCTTCGGAGCCCCTCTCATATGGACTAAACTCTGACCTGGGGTTCAGGAGCTTGGACTCTGCCAGAGCACTGTGGGCCAGTCACTTTATCTCTGAGCATCTACTGTCTCTTCTAGAAAACAGGGCCAGGGACCTGGTCAGAGGGCAGAGGCGCAGGGGTAGACCTCAAACTCTGATGGGTGCATGCAGCCCAGGCCCTCCTTGGCCCCTCCCCTCCCCTCTGCTTCCTGCCCAGGGATATCTATGACCATGGAGGTCACCCTTCGCTAGCACAGGCTGCATGTGGGGGGTGACCCCAGGACCCTTCTAATTCCCCAAGTAGAATGACAGCTTTGTTCCAGTCCACACCTGGACATTTGGAGTCCAGACAGTGGTCTTCTGCCTCTTACTATGTTGGGGAGCTCCCCTTCTATGTTTTCTGACAATTCTGACACAGAACACTCCCCAAATGTTTTCTTATTGATTAGAACCCATACTGTTGAGAGCTCGCTTACATTTCCCTGGGCCTTTGGGATACACTGGTGACCCTTCTCAAGCTGAGTCTGACATGCTTGGCCATGAGACAACATTTCGTGGCATGGTTGTATAAAAGGCGGGGCCCTCCGATCGATAAGACAAAGTTAGATGAGATCAGAACAGGTTAGTCCTGGGGACTGTGCCTCACCACAGCGTAAACACTGGGTGCTGGGTTTGGGGCAGGAAAAATGGGCTGAGTTGTCAAAGCGCTTAGTCACATATACTAATGCCTTGAAAGCTCTGAGCATCTCTGAGAAACAGGCAGGGCCAGTGTTAATGATTCTCCATTGCAGCAATAAAGAGACTGAGGGCCAGAGAAGTTAAGATACCTTAAATGGTGAGTCAGAGATGTAACTCAGCCCTTTGATGCCTCTCTCACAGGACTCGAGGTTCTAACGGCAGTTTTGCAAGAGCCTTCAAGCGAAGTTCAAGTGAAGCCTCCTCCAAAGGAAGACATCCTGGCAACTCCATTCTACGTGTTATTACATTCGTGGAGAAACTGGACTGTTGGCCCAGTTCTATTGCTTTGGTCAGATCTTCTGATCAGGAAGTAAATAAAAAGGAGGTGTTTTTGGTCTTCCCCAAATTCGCAGTTATCCAGAAGCTGCGTTTTAGCATAGCCGGCAAACCGGAATCTGAGAAATTGGCTTTTGTGCCCTCCAAGAGTTTGGAGGAGTTTGTATTTTCACTTGCAGGAAGGTGGCACTTCTGTGAGGACCCGATCTGGGTTAAGTTTTGCTTTCTAATGGCCAAACCATCTCTCCTTCCATAAAGCAGAGGCACAAACCAAATTACTGCCTGGGCCAGGCAGCTAAATCAAAACGCATAGTGGCTAGAGGAGTGTGGGGGGGCTGGGAGAGGGCCAGGGCTTGGGGAAAGGCACCAGGCCTGCTCGGCCCCAGGGCACGGTGGCCAAGTGAGGATGCAGGCCACATCACCACATTGCCAGATTTCCAGACAAGGGCCCCAAATCCAGATTTTCAGGCGAAATCGCCCTGTTTTTAAATGTTAGTAACTAATTCCAGAATGTTTATGATATCACGCAGGCCACGCAAAAACTGGGGGCCCTTGGGCCACCAGTCTGCAAACTTGGGGTGAAGAGACATCAAGAGAAGTGAACGGGGAGTTTTCAGTTGTGAAGACCAAAAAAGAAACACGAACACCCTCTGCTGCCATTAGAAATTTTCCTTAGAAAATCAGACGTTAGCGAATGTCACTAGAAATTCTATGGTTCTTGGGAAAAGGTTCCCTAGCAGGCCTCTTGGCTGGTGCTCACGTGGGACAGCGGTACTTACCTCAGCTCCCCCCCCCCCACACCAGGAAACAGGCGTCAGAGGTAATGGGTTCACAGATACTAGGGGCATGAATAAAAGAAGAGCTGAACAGCAAAGAAGTTTTCACATCTGATTTACATTGCAGTGCTCTTTCACGCTCTCTGCACCCCCACCCCGGGCTGCAGGCCAGGCTCTAGAAGATGGCTCTTCCTTTCTGCCCCGCCCCCAGAGCCCCCACCTGCCTGCCCCTGCATCGTCTGGGCCCTCACCCAGGGGTCCTGAAAGTGAAGGGAAGAGCTGTTTGCCCCTGACCCCCCTCCGCGTCCGTTTCAGCCAAGGCTCCCCTGTGTTTTCGAGGCTTTTGTGGTGGCCAATGGTCAAGCCCCCCGAGGGATGCTGGGGCACAGGCTGCACACAGCACAGGGCAGCCAACTGGGATCCGGGACACCCTGCTCCGTACTTTGGGGGGCATTCGGTTTCCTTCTGGATGCACACAGCACAGGGTCATGGGCAGGTGCAGAGCTTGGAAAGAAAGCGAACTTGCCTGGGTAGCCTGGGTAGCCCGGGACTGCCTCATGCAATGGAAGCCCATGTGATTGCTGAGCTCCTGCTTGCAGAGCTCCCCGCGTGGCTGGGCAGGGTGGAGACGCAGGCCCACAGGACTCACCTTGGACCAGTCCCCAGTCTTCCACTCATAGCAGCCCGAGTAGTCCTCGCACGCCTCCTCTGCTTTGGGCCTCGTGGACGCGTCGCATTTTCCTTGCGAGTTGGTGCACGTCACAGTTCGTTTTCGGGTCCCTTTGCCGCAGGTGGCCGAGCACTGCAAGACATCGTTTGGATGTTTGATCCTGTCTGGTTCAGCTCAAGGTCATCAAGGCCTATTAAGTCGCAACAGTGTGCCAGCCCCAGGGCCAGGGACGCAAGGATGACGATGCTGCTGGGCTTCTAGAGTCTGAAGCACATGGTCCCAGCTGTGACTCCAGCCAAGTGGCCAGTGATGGGGGCGGGCCACAGGAGCGGGGAGAGCTCGAGGTACCAGAAGACCAAACTAGGAATTTAGTGGCCTGCTACCAGGTCCAAAAGACTGATGCAGTGGAGAAGTTCAAGGGGCAAATGCTGGTGGACCCTCGAGCAGAGCAGGGGACAGGGCCAGGGGAAGCCAGGTAAGGACACCCAGGCAAAGATGCCTGAGGCCCCTGACTCCTCCGAGCTGGCCTCTAGCTCCACACACGCTGCCTGGGCCAGCCTGGGGCAAAAGCAGAGGCTCAGGGTGGAAAACAGGGAGACGCAAACCCAAGCCACAGGTGACTTTCATGTTAGGCCATTGGCAAGCTCTTGTAGAGAGCTGCAGTGAATGTGTTAAGTGTGGATGCCAAGAACATCACTGAGCAATGGTCCCTGTGGTAATTTACCTACTTCCCGGGAGACACTGCAAGAGAAAGTGTGGTGAGGGGACCCAAAGAGGGCCTGAGGAATGACAGATCATGTGCGAGCCCTGAGAATTCAAGATTCCCACGCCCTCAGGCAGCAAGACCCACGGCAGACGGGGTGAGAGGTGGGGTGACAGCTGTAAACAGGGTGGACCTGCGGGGTGTATCTGGAGCCTGCTCCTGGCGTGCTCCCCCTGCACTCAGGGAGGGACCTCACCGGGCTCCGAGAGTGCTTAGCCACCTCAAAACAAAGCAGAAGGAAGCCCAGGCAGAGCAGACCTATGACCTCGGGAGGATGGGACTGACTGTGCATGATCCGGCCAGCAAGAGGAGGTGACGTGGCCTGCAAACCCAGGGAGCTCTCCCTCTTATTTGCCGGGTACGGAAGCCCTGCCTGTCTCCACCATGGAAGCAAACATGTAACTTGCGGAGATGTTGGCCTGAAGGCTGCATTCTGCCCAGAGGTAGAGACACAGTGAGCCCCAGGCTCCCAACAGCTGGGTCCTAGAGCTATGGCGTGGACAGCCCATGCGCTGTGGTGGCACAAAATGGAGCCCTCACAAATCGAGCATCTGCTTTCATACTTAAGCTTGATTTACCAGAAATATACAGCAGATATTCTTGAGCCACAGCAAACTTGATTTTCCAAAAAAGTTCCACTGTGTCCCCTGAGAAAATGCACCTACAGGACAAAAGTTGTTCTTTATAGTTCTATTGTTAACATTTATCCCAAAATGTTATGTAGCTTTATTTTTCCGATGAGTTCAATTTAACTCTCCGAGGCTTTTTTTTTTTTTTTTTTTTGAGACTAACTTAGATTGGCTTGTTTTAGAAGAAATACACATGCTTCAGAACTGGTTGTGGTGTCATCTGGGGGGAGCTGGAGAGCATGTGCATTTGGTCCTGTGTGTGGGTGAGGGATTGGCTTTATAGGATCTTGGATGCAAGGGGTCAGTCCAGAGCAGGTGTCATCCTCTTGGGCAGGATGGGTTGTGGCTGGGAGGGCCACTGCTGAGAGCCTGGGTTACCGAGTTGAAGGTCAGTCTCTCTGCTTCTTCTGCATGGTGATGCTCCCTGACCATTTCATTAGCTCTGCCTTGACCATTTGACTTGTGGGCTCCTCCCTGGCACCAGCACCCACACCCACGCTCTTTCTTCAACTAGAAGCCTACTTACCACTTCTGCCAGAGTTCCTGCATTGTCTTACTCTACTCTGCATTCCCTGTCCCTTTCCCTTGAATTTCAAACACTATAATGTCTAGCCTGTTTCTTGACCAAACCCAGGCTCAGCCCTTCTGACCAGAAGGTGGGGCTTCCTCTGGAGGGACCTAGGACAGGAGACAGTCACTATCTTTTGCTTCCTTCCTGGTATCTGCTCCTCATTCAAACAAAGCGGGGAAGTATCTGCTCCTCATTTGAACAAAGCTGGGAAGAAGCTGGGGGGTAGACAGTACGGCTGATCAACACTGCTGGCTATATAAAGGCAACCTCCTCAATAAAATAAACTTCTCTGCCACGAGAAATTTAAACCCATTTGTTTCCAGAAGAAGAAACATTAAAGGGCCTTCAGCACTGGGGCGCTTGGGTGGCTCCGTTGGTTAAGCATCTGCCTTCAGCTCAGGTCATGATCCCAGGGTCCTGGGATCAAGCCCCATGGTGGGCTCCCTGCTCAGCGGGGAGTCTGCTTCTCCCTCTGCCTCTGCCCCTCCTCCTGCTTGTGCTCTCTCTCTCTCAAATAAACAAAATCTTTAAAGGGGCTTCAGCATGTGGTGAAGCAGTAGAAATACCAGTTTGGTGAGCATCTTGTGAATGAGGGCAAGGTTTGATTCCAAGTTGGACTGTTCAGAAAGAGGCATTTGGCTCGAGCCTAGGGTGAGCCAGAAGGAGACTGATTGGTATGGATACTATTTCAGCATTAGGATCAGGTACACACAGAGATAGAGACGTGAAATTAGAGAGATTTCTTTAAATCTTGCTTCAGTTGTCTCACATTTTCCAATCTGGTGTTCTTTAATACTATGGTGATGGTTGATAATGTCAGGCTTGGTTATTTTGGTAAGGAAATTTTTTTTTTTCTATGAGAAAGAGTCTGAATGGAAAATTTATGGCTTTGATCTGATTAAAACATAAATCTTGTTTGGATCAAGAGCCAGGTGATCAAGAACCTCAGGCTCAAGGTGGGTTGGCGGGGATGGGGGTGGGGGTGGGAGACTGCATGCCTGACCCTACCCCTCCAACAAGTAGTCCCCCTCCCTAAAAGAGGTCCCTTGAATGTTCAACTTACAGTCCTAAGTACATATAAAAGATCAAAATTTTAAACTCTCTCTTTCCCCTAAAATATCATAAAGGGCAGGCTGAAGATTCAGGTCTTTAACAGGTACATGTCAAGATCTGTCTGAAAAGTAAACCCCATTTCTGAGTAGCCAAGGGCAAACTTTTCGTTCATTAAGAATGGGCTGAATACTTTCTTATTCAAAATAATTCCAACTGTTTGGCAATAAAAAAGGAACTTTAAAAATATTTTCCACACTGAAGAGTGTCTTGGATTTAGCCTTTCTGACTTTCCTAGAACACATTTGATGGAGGACCTGAGGGAAACTTGCCCTTTATTCAGCCTTTTATTTTATGGCCAAACAGTCAAAATCATTAATGCAAAGTCAACGCAAAGCCTTGAAGGATGATACTACCAAAGATAAAATATTTCCAGAATCAGTCTTTCAAGTTAAAACTTAA